GTTCTGACGGAAAGCGACCCTGCAAGGACCTCAGAATAAAACACGACCGCGCCTGCGCCATCCTCACCACGGCTCGTACACCTGAATTCATATTGTTGCACCACTGTGTCAATCCACCCACGGAAGGTTTTCTCTTTTGTATCGACACTTTCTCTGCTTTATCAAGCTCGGTGTCCTTTTGCAGGCACGGGTCCATTCTGATATAAAGTTTTGCTACCTTTGCTTCTAGGCATTACCCTAGTTGGACTTCTGTCAGGATACATAATCACACGCACTTGTGGAATCTGTGATACACTTAATATGCATGGCCAACACCGTACTCAGAGACATCAAGTATTTTCCCGTCTTCCTTATTTGCTTTCCGGCCTTCTCGTGTCTATGAGGCAGTTAAAAACCTCATGGCTTGAGTCCGGCAGATCTTAGTCCTCAAGCACTTTGCTTTTGGAGCACTTGAAAGAGGCTTTCTGCAGTAGATTTTTGCAGCCAAAGTGGTGACGGTTGTATAGGAGACATAGTAAAACATTTAGAAAATAATTTTCTAACAACAATTGTTTGAAGGATTCTTACCAGCATTTCCTGGTTTCTTCTAGTTGTTTATATTTGCTTACTGTTTTTTGGCAAATAGCAATGATCTATTTTTTAATTTTAAAAGTTAATATTTTCAATTAAATGATTTTTAAATGTACAGGATATTTATCATGCCATTGACAATATAACCTATCTAATAGCACAGGCCAAGAAAAAAAAAGGTTTTTTGGTGTCTAGGATCTTAGGCTAGTTCCTGGGGTTATTGGTGGCAGTGATTGGAGAGACTACATCTGCACTAGTTTCTTAGATATGGCATTCCACTCTTTTCAGCTATGAAGTTATAATGATTTATTAACGTATCCTCCTACTTTTAAACATAAGAAGAATTCAGACACACAAATTGCAGGATAACCAAAAAGGTAAGAAATATTTAACAAAGAACTAGGTATTAAGGGATTACCAAGGGAAACCATATATGGATCTATGGTAGCTTGTTGGTCCATGTTGAGCTGCTAATTATGAGGCCAGTCATTTGAAACCCCCAGTCCCTCTGGAGCCTTTAAAAGACTTAAAGGTTTGGAAACCCAAAGGGGCAGGTCTTCTCTGTCCTACAAAGGCCACTGTGAGTTAAAAATCAATGAGGTGGCAATGGGGTTTTCTTTGGGGAATGGGAGGCTGGGCAACATAGACAGAGACTACAAGCCGGGCAGTGCAAAGCCAGCACACGGCTTGAGAAGAGCATAAAGTAGAAAAGGAACCAGAAAAGGCACATCTATGGAAGGTGCGAGGGCAACTGAGAAAGTCAAAAATATGACATTATATCAATTTCCATCAATATTTTGAAGATCTGAATTTTTCTTCTTCAAATTATGCAGTAAACATTTCAGAATACATTTCAATATAGACAAGTCAATGGATACTTCATGTTAAAAGGTTCAGAGATGAGATTTACTCAAGCTTCTTTATAAGAAAGATTCTAATTTTTAAGAGTTTTTGAACACTGGGAGAGAAATTGTGCCATCTTATACATAGACTGGAAGATTTTAATTTGAATAAAGTAGTTTGAACTCTGGCAGACCCATTTGGGGTTTCAGATCATTTGAGTATCTGTTTGTTGTACCAAACTCACAACTAGTCAGTCTGTTGTGGCTCTTTAGTGACCCTACAGGACAGAGGGGGACCTCTGAGGGTTTCTGAGGCTGTGCCTCTTGATGGGAGTGGAGAGTCTCATCTTTCTCTTGCAGAGCGGCTGTGGGGTTCGACTGGCTGAACTTGTGGGGAAGAATCAAGCAGATAACACACTATGCCAGTATGGCTCCTTATTTATTGGACAGTAGCTCTTATTTATGCCCCTTTTAAAGTAACACATTGGGACTGCCTGCTATTCAATTCCTAACAGAGGTGAAGCGGTGCTTGGGAGAATTCCAAATTCATGCAAATGGCACTGTTCAAAT